GATTAAATTTCTTCTAGGTTTGTTACAGTTCAGGTTTTCTAATAATTTGTTTCAAGGGGGGAAATGTCACGTAGGTCTCAAATTCTATAGGAAGGAGTTTGGAAGAGCAGTTTGGAGGTAAGATACCTCATTACAGCAATCTCTCAGATTTAACTAAATCTACATGTGTATATTTTAAATGCATAGAAAAAAATCTAACAATATCTGTACCTGAAATGTTAATGATCCGGGAAATAAGGGTGCAAAAAGGTGCTTTCCTTTTTTATATAACATTTCTACATTGCCTTATTTTTTTTAGCGTGTTTACTTTCACAACCAAAAATATTTCTTAAGCATAAAACAAAGAGAGACACATCGAACAGCTGGTGTACACACACACAAAAAAGCACCCCCCCTTTGGTCCTGATCAAGACTCTTGAGTTTTTTACATTAAAATTTCAGAAATAAAATGGCAGGGAAAACTGTTTAGTAGGTAATACTGTGATAATACATGTGTGATCATCAGCATCTACACTTTAAAATAAGTTTCTTCCAATTATAAAAGAAATATGTGCTCACTTTCAAAAGGTAAAAATCACCTATGATGCCAACACCTTTGAACCACCATTGTTAACATCCTTCAGCCCATTTCTTCCCATTGTTCATCTATGCCGTCTTTTTAAACAAAACTGAATTCACACTGCAAATGCAGTTGTATCTGCAGCCGCATTTAATTGGTACGCTAGAAATCACTAAATTAAGGTCAGCAAAACGTTTTCTCTCCATCTGTTACTTTTTAAACACGACATTTCATTTTACACTCTCAGGAATAAAGACTTACTTTAAACCAAAGTAGTGGCATACAGAATGCACAGCTGCCAGAAGAGCTTTCGAAACGATACATTAAAATCATGTCACAAACCTGTTTAAAACCCTCCAGGGCTTCCATGAGAGTCAGTATCAGACCCAAACTCCACAGAGTGATCATGAGAACTAACTCCTGCCCTCCGGTCTGAAGCCACCTACCATGCCAGCCTCAGACCCTTTGCACTCTCTGTTCCCAATGCCTAAAATTTCTTCCCCAGATCTTGCCCCAGCTCATCTCTTTATGCCATTCTGGTGTCACCACAGCTACAGCTCCTCAGGGAGATTTTTCTTGCCTACCCAATCTGAAACAGCCCTTGCTACTCAATGACACCCTGGAATTTTATTTCTATTTTACTTCTCTGTGTCTTACACCTCTAAAATATGTGAGTAGCACCTCAGTCTAACTCTTTTCCCCAGGATTTAAACCAGAGCCACTCGGTACACGCTGGCTGGATGAATGAAGGTGTTCTCAGAGTTACCCAGCTTTGTGGGCTGTGAGGTGAAGAAACCTACCTTCCGAGCCTCATTCAAGGCAGCACAGCCTCTTACTGAGACTGTCTAAAATAGGTCAGTGCCTTCTCCCAGTCCGAGCAGAAGAGCTGCCCTCAGCCCTGCTGGGGGGAAAACAGACCATTTCTTTTGTCTTGGCCAGACTCCGATTTTGCTTCTCCACCCTGTTACCTAAACCAGAAGCCCACTGGTCAACCATGTCCTTCCCTGTCACCCGCTCCCATGTCATTAATAAGTCCTGCCAATGTTCAACGCCACCATCTTTTAACAGAATTGTTCCAGAAAACCGCCTCTTTCCAGTCCCCATGACCTTTCAGAAAACCACCTGTGGACATGGGGACCCCAAACCATGCCAATCAGCATTGTGAATGCAGAACAACCCAATAATCTTCATAATGCAAAGAAAAAAAGTGTTGGACAACATTTACTTCCACAACACCGCCTGGGAGAGACCACAGGCAGATGCTGCCACCAAGATCCCATGGTTGACTAATTAATTCTTATCTGCTGCACACCTGGCTCTCTGAGCACGCCCTTGGTCCTGTGAGCTTCCACCAATACTTGAGTGGGTCGGTTGGTTTGTTTTGAGACAGGGTCTTGTTGTGTAGTTCAAGTCGGCCTTGAATTCACTATGTAGCCCAGGCTGACCTTGAACTTGCAGCGATCCTCCTGCCTCAGCCTCCCGAGTGCTGAGGTTATAGGGTTGTGCCACCACGATTAGTTCAGCAGTACTTGCAATGCAGTCTCTTCTCTGCTTTAGTTGTTAACCAGGCTTAGCTTCTGTTGTGTCCAGCCCTCGGGCCCTAGCGGACAGTTCCCCTAAATGTTAGCAGAACATCTTCTCCACACTCCCTCCAATGGCCCACACACACCTGCCAGCTTCTTCAGCACCAGGGGCCTCCCTGACAGCCAGGCCCCTGGCCTCTCACAGCCACATGTGACCATGTCACTCTTCTCTTTGCAGAGAAATGCAGAGCCCCAGGTGCTGAGCAAACACTCCAGCTCTTTCCTCCTTCCTCCTCTCTCAACCTTTAAGCCCCGTACACTCCCAACCACCAGCCACCTCCTGTTTTCTCCGTGTGCTTCCACCCTCTGTCCACTCCTCCTCTGCCCAGGCCCTCTCTGCTGCCCTAAACCTGACCACTTCCGGGTCACGCTTGAAAACCAGCCCAGACTCTGCCTCCCTCCTCCCCTCGCTGCCCTCCTGTCTGCACACAGACGTGAGTCCCTAGCACGAGGCCTGCTTTCCCAATAGCCTGGGAATTCTCTCATGACAGGCAATGCGTCATCCTCATCTCTCTACCCACACCATGTAACAGGCACCAAATAAATTTCAGTTAGGTGTTAAATGATGAAAAACAACTCACTTTGAAAACCTCAGGCAAGACGCAACAATTGTGTTTTCATTCCTCTCCTTTCTAACCGCAATCAGAATTATCATCAAACAGTTCTGCAGGAGCAGCCAGTGCTGCCAATCTTGAAGGGTGGTTTCATTGACTGGAGTTGGGACTTATGGTGTTTCGGCAGCTCCGAGGCTACTCCTGCTCACTCTGCCTGATGGTTCTCAATCAGGATCACGCATTTCAGACACTGATTCCCTTCGCTCAAGCTTCGAGTGAAGGGCAAAATGCCACCCACCCCAGCTCAATGCGGGTACAGCTGAGGAACTACAAATAATAATAATAGAGAAGCCTGTAATCCAACCAGGCTGGGCTCCAATCTACACCTGGCTCCAGGAGAGCACATGGGGCAGGGCAGGGCAGTGGAGGGCAGGGGCTCTGGCATGAAGTTCTGCCTCCTCCCCAGACACCTGCATATGTCCCAGTCCCTTTGTGCCTGAGTTTGCTCATTAGGAATGAGGCAGGTGAGGTGGGCCTAGATTCACTCAACAAACACACAGACAGGCACCCACTATATCTAACTCTAAACAAGATACTGCAGGTCAAAGATCACTACAACCTTAAATTTGTGCATGCACTCGTGTGTGTGTGCGTGCATGGGTGTGCACGTGTGTGTGTGTGTGTGTGTTGCTGGGCATTAAACCCAGGGCTTTCACACTAAGCCCTTTGTAATTTTTTATTTTGAGACTGGGTCTCACTAAGTTGCTAAGTTGTGCCCAGGCTGGGCTTGAACTTGCAGTCCTCCTGCCTCAGCCTGTGGGGAGTAGTGATGACAGGCGGGCACCACCACGCTCAGCTACAACCCTTTCATATCATAAGCAAGCAGTGTCGAAAGAACCCTGGCTGCAGAATCAGAAACTTCAGCTTCTTGGAACCAAACCATAATCCTGCATCTGCGATCCTAGGGTCATGAATTTCCCTTCCCTTCAGTTTCCTGACATGAAAAACGAGGATCACATGAGGTCAAATGTGTGAACACTGCGTCTCAGAAGTCTGAATTAAGAGGGTCTTCAAAGGATTCAAAGGGCCAGAGTTTATCAGAGCCATAATTTCCTCATCATAAGAACTAGCGCCCCCTTCTGACAGCTAGCTAACACTGCAGAGGCTCAGCCCAGAGCGGCCTGGTAAGGACACCACTAAGGCTCAAGTCCATGATAAAGGAATTCTAAACTGAACCCCAAGCCTGCCCAGTATTTAAGCACCGATCAAAGGCCTCCCGACCAGGACATAAATGTTAAACTCAACAAAGAGTAGCTACCACACTCGCCCTCCCCCGTCCCCAGGTCCCCTCCACTCCTTACAGAGCAAACAGTCCTGCGTCCCATGAAGTCCTGCCCTACGTTTTCTCAGTGGAACCAGCTGAAATAAACGAGTTTCTTCCCGACAAGCTCGTATTCTGCATCCTCACCGAAGGCCTGGTTACCAGCAATAGTTAACTCGCGGAGTTCAAGGAAAGGTGACATCTTGGTGAACAATTCTAAGAGGATTTTGCTCTCTTCCAATAAGTATCCAAGGGATTGGATTTCCAAAGAGTTCAATTCGCATTACTCCACTTGGATACACCCAGTAGCCAACTCCAGAAGCAGCCTTTCAGTGAATACAGCCCCTCTTCACCAAGTTATTGGCAGGGAAAACCCCAAGGGCACAGAGAGCCCAGAAAGGGGAGCGTCTCTGTTGGGCTTCCCGCATGGCCATTCTTGGGGCCCCTACAACTTTCCTGAAGCCCGAGAAGGGATCCTAAACGGCGGAGACAAGGAGTGCAAGCCCAGCCACCTGGCCTTCAGCCCATACCTCCCCGACACAGGTAGCAAATAAAAATCCACTGCAGGCCTGGGGCATGGAGCAGTGGTGAAGCACTTGCCTGGTATGCACAAAGCCCTGGGGTGGATCCCCCAAAACAACAGAGTCACATTCTTCTTCCCCAGACACCTCCTCCCACCCCACAAAAAGGAAATGAAAAACAACAACAGGAAGCCAGGAAGAAAACTGAAACTGCGCTTCTATGGACAAACATGTTCTGCTCCAGCCTTAAGACAGTTTCACACCCAGTAGCTTTGCAACCCTTTCCAAAGCTCTGATGCCTGCCTGGATGGGAAAACAGTTTATCCCTGCGATCGAAAGTCGCCAGGTAAAGATGCACAACAGGAGTTACGAGTTACGTGTGCGCAAATGCTGTGTGTGTGCGCAAATGCTGTGTGTGTCCGGACGGACACACACACACGAGGCAGAAGTCCGCCTATTCTTTCTAGGGAAGGTCACCTCGAGTCTGCTGCCCAGGCAGCGCGTGGCCCCTCTGAAAAGCAGTTGTTAACATCCCTAATCAGACTCCACAGCCGCCCCTGGGCTGCTGTCCTCTGAGCCCAGGAAAGTCTGCTTTATTTTTCCTGTGGAAAAACAGGCTGGGGCCTGGGGATTGGCGCCGCGATCTTGGCACCCTAGGAACTGCAGCCGCCCCTTCACCTGAGCTAACGGCTAGGGCACAAATGAAGGAAAGCGCTTCCCTTCTAGGAGAAACGAGCAGCTGGAAATCACGCAGGGGGTGGCGGCCGAGGGCGCACGTGGCAGGCACCCTGGAGGCGAACCGCCTCCTTCCATGTGCGCTCCGCTCCCGAACCACCTGCCCGCTGCTGAGAGGCGTCCTCCGCCCGCCCGAGCCCCAGGCCGGCCCAGAACTACCTGCTGCTGCCTAGGCGCCCTCGGGCCAAGTCTCAGAAGTTCACTCCCCGTCGCGCTGGTCCGGGAGGCTGGGCATCTGCTGAAACCCAACCTGCCCTAGAGAGCCGGAGCTCACCCACCCCTGCCCAGGTACCCGACCCTTCCAGCCGCTTAACGGAGCCCAGGGGCCAGTCCGAGAGGGAACGCCAAGGCCTCGGGTTACCCCGTGCGCCCCGGGGAGCAAAGGGCTGGCGCGGGTGGCGGCGAGTGGCGTGCGCCCGGGCGGCCGGAGGTGGAGGGAACCCTGCCACCCCCGCTCGCCGTGCCATGCTCTGGCTCCCGGCAGACCTGGATGTGGCCAGATCTCCCACCTGGGCTGCGGCGCGGCTTCCCAGTCCCTTTCCCTCTCCTTTCCACTGCGCGGGGCCGGGGGCCCACAAGCTGGTGTCCACCGGCGCCCGGGGCTCAGCCTCCGGCCCGCAGAGTCCCGGGACGCTCGAGGGAGCCGGAGCCCTTCCCCAGCAAGGGGAAGGAAGCAAGGTAGCTGCGGGGGTCCCCAACCCGCCCGGGTGGGTGCCGGGTGCCAGTGCCAACAGGTATGGGAGGCACTGCCAGCCGCTCGTCCGCGCACTCCGGGACGGGCCCCGCCGCCGCCCTGGGGCTGGGACGCGGTGCAGCGAGAGGGGGCGAGGACGCAGGGCGGGCAGGAGCGGGAGCGCAGCGGCGCCACTCACCTCTCCGGGCCGGGGCGCCTCCGCGCGACGCCTGGGGGCTTCGTCCGAGGCCCGCACGGGGGCGGGGGTTGGCGCGCGATGGAGGCGCCGGGCGGGCGGCGCTCAGCCTGGTGCTCACACCCCCAGCAGGCGGCCGCGTCCCCGCATCCTCGCTGCAGCCGCCGCCGGCTCCCACGGCGCCCCCGGGCCGCTCCCCCAACGCGCGCGCCGGCCCAGCACGAGCCCCTCGTCGGCTTGGAGCGCGAGCTGGGCGCGCTCCTTGCTGTCCTTGTCCTCGGCTCCCGTCTGGGGACGTGCGCCCCGCACCCCTGCGCTCCCTGCACCGCGCGCCGCTCTACCCCTCCCGCTCCCGCCGGCCGCGCGGGCTCAGCCCATGTGCGCGGCCGCCTCGCTGCGCCCCGCAGCCCAGTGGCCGAGGCCCCGCTGGAGTTGCGCGTCCTAGAAACTCCATGCAGCTCGGGCCTCCTCCAGCCCGGCTCCTCCCCGGGGCCTCTTCTGGGCTGTGCTGCCGGCGGGCGCCCCGGCTCCGGCGAAGGTCGGGAGCCCCTACCCCCACCCCTCCGCCTCGCCAATGGCTCCCTCGGTTTCCAGGCAGCGCAACCTGAGGAACGCCCCGGCGCGCGCGCTCACACTCGCACACACACGCACACGCACACGCGCCGCACACACAGGCGGACACGCTGGGGGCGAGCTGGAGCTGAGCGGCGGCGCTCCTTCCTTTCCGCCCCAGAGAAGCTCCCCACGTTAACTCCGGCAACTGCCGTCCCCTCGGCGCCGGACGACTCACCGGAGAGCCCCCGGCACTCACTACTTCGGCCCCGGTACCCCTCCCTAGGGCCAAAGCTCCACCGGAGCTCGTGTCCCGGAGAAAGGGTAGAGCACCAGGTAAGGGACTTGTGGCCAAAACCGGCAGAAAGAGACAGACCCCACGTGCCACCCCTGGCGCCATCTAGGGGGACACGCCAGCCGCAGGCCATGCCGCCCACCATGCCGCCCACCCTGTTCCCACTGCCCGGGGGCCCAAGAACATTTCTCCTTCCAAGGTCAGTGTGGGAGAGAGGGGCGCGGACGCAGGTGTGGGCTAGAAACCTCGCACACTGGCTGCAGCCTGCCCTGGTGCTGACCCCGCCGTGTCTAGACCCAGACAGACCCCTCCGGTCCCCTGCCCGTGCCTCAAGGGCAGGTGAGCTTAAAGTCACCAGTTACCTTTCCTGGTCTCTACCTGTCTGCGTCTCATGTGCCCAGGAGAGGACAATACACAGCCCAACCCGGGTTTGTGTAGTCAAGAGAAAGAATCAAAACACCAGGCTGGGTCTCGGGCCACACCTGCCAGTCCCTCCCTGCTCCTCCCAAAGGTGTGCCCCGGGGGAAAGAAGGGAAGGACCCTCCTGTTTGGTGCAGGCTAGTCCTTCCTAGTCTCAGCATCCTCCTTCCCGGGGTCCCCAGTTTCTTGCCCCCTCTAGCTGACAGAAAGAGTGCTCACCAGCTCCGATGCCTCCAATTCCCAGAATCAGAGAAAAGATATATGTGAAAATTCCCACGCCAATCAGGAACAAAGCAGGCGACAGCGGCGCCATAAGCCTCTCATCCAAACAGCTCAGCAATCTCCTCTCCATCGGCTTGTTCAGCTGCCAAGGGAGTCCGAGCACTGGCACTGCCAGCCAGTGACACAAGTTAGTCAGGGTCCCCTCCCTGTCTGTGCCTCTGGCTCGTCTCCTGGGCACAGTTTCTTCGTCCCAGTAGCACTCAGGTCAGGCCCCACACCTTTGGCATTTGCCATTTGCTACCCTGTGCTACTCGTATCTTCCCTTGTCCAGGCCCTGCTTCCCAAACTCTTCTAAAACCTTGAGCCACTGGTTGAGTTTTATGCACTTAGTTGGGAAATGTCCATAAAGAGGGTTTCCATAAAAGGTCATGGCAGCTGGACATGGTGGGGCAGGCCTGGCATCTCCGCACTCTGAGGCAGGAGGACAGCAAGTTCAACCCCAGCCTGGGCAACTTAGGGATTTAGAGAGACCTTGACTCGAAATAGAAAAGGGCTGGGGATGTAGCTCAGTGCAATAACCTGGGCTGAATCCCCAGCACTACAGAAGGAAAAGGAAAAGAAAGGGGGGGGAGTGAAGGAAGGAGAGAAAGGAAAAGAGGGAGGGAAGAGGGAAAGAAGGGGAGAGAGAGAGAAGAGAGGGAAGGAAAAAAGGAAGGAAGGATGTGGCAGATGAATAGAGTTGGCGGGGTCTCTGTGATCTTTCCCTCTGAGCCCTTGGTTTGGATAAAAGCTGCATCTTCTAACAATCTGTCACCCGTCTAAGAAACTGTCTTCCTTTTCGGATCCCAGCCAGGTCACTAAAGCCCTGTGGCAAGCCTATAAGCACACATGCAGCTCCCAGTAAAGGTAAGGATCACCCCCTGTCATAGTCACTTTCTCACCATTGAGACACAATACCCAACATCTCCAACTTAAAGGAGGAAAGGTTTGTTTTGGCTCACAGTTTCAGCAATTTCAGTCCATGGTCAGCAGGCTTAAACACAGAAACAGCATGGTGGAGGGTCCTGGGCAGAAGAGAGCTGCTCTCCTCATGGAGGTCAGGAAGCAGAGAGAGAAGGGAGGAGCTGGACAGAAGGATGTGGCCTTCTAGGCCATGCCCTCAGCAGCCCGCCTCTTCCTGTCAGGCCCCACCCCCCTAATGGCAAGTCATCTATATCACCCCTATGACTCAGTCTTCTTCCAAAGCCCCACCTATGAGTGCATGAGGCCTTTGGGATACATTCCTGACCTAAACCATGCCAACGCCATAACCAGAGGGGGACATGTCTGGCCAAGCTTCACGTAACGCCTGTGTTGTTTGTCCTCTTGAAATCTCACCATCCCCATGTATAAGGCAGGGCCAGTTATATCCACACTGTCAGGTTGCTGGAGAGCTTAGATGGGATCATGTGCAGCAGCAGTTCACTCAGCTCCCTCCAACCCTAAAGTAAGTGGTTAACAGAAGACGATGGCTGTCACCCTGGGTCAGTAGTTAACAGGTATCAAAGTCATTGCTTTGCCCCAGGACACTAAACTCAAGAACTAGAGAACCAGGGGGGCACTTTGATGAGCCTAGCAAAGGCAGTTTCCCTCTGTCCTCACCTACTGTGGCCATTTGGGGACTTCTGAGTGAACGGAGTGCAGGTTCACAGGCCCTGACAACCTTGCTCCAACTTCTGTTATCTTTCCTGTTAAAATTCCATATAAAATACTTTACCAGTTACAGATCAGAGGCTAAAATCAGCAGAGACAGGAGAGGAAGGGGAAGCAAGCATGAGTAAGACAGGATATGTATATGTACCAGTTCCCCAACATGAATGTCATTATTATGGATGACAAACATATAGCGATAAATTTTTTGAAGCACAAAAAATAACAGAATAACACAAAAATGCAGAACAAGATGATGGAAGAACTTCCATTGAGCATGCATTTGTAACGGGATTTAGAACACACACTCTCTCCCATCTAGAATTATGCGGCCTTGCAAGAAGCGGCTTGAAGTGGACTTAACTTAGTTCTAGTCCCTGCCTCTAGTTTTGGGACTCGGAGTTCCACAAATGAGGTATCCAAAGAAACGAGTGAGACACCCAGACAATTGCTACCTCCCCCGTGGGGATCATTTCTGAAGGGTCAAAGTCATTCCCACCTCTGCCTCTTCCTTTTTCCTGTCTTTTCTTCTGTTTTACCATCAACCCATACATCTATTTCAAGTGCCTAACACAGCCAAAGGTAGAGGGTGATAAAAGGTCCACTATGTTCTCAATAGAAATAGATTGAAATTTCCAAAAGTCATTGGAGTGAGACTTTGCTAGGGGGTAAAGACTTTCATGGTTTCCATAGAAGTATAGAAGATAGAATGAATGGACTCTTTGTAACACACACCCCGGACTTTATGACTAGAGGTTTGTTGAGTGTGTGTGTGTGTGTATGTATGTGTGTGTGCACAGGAGAGAGAGAGGGAGATTGAGAGATTGCTGGGAATCGAACCCAGGGCTGTCACACTGACCTACAACCCCAGCCCTTTTAATCTTTTTATTTTGAGACAAGGTCACCCTAAGTTGCCCAGGTGGGACTAAAATTTGTAGTTCTCCTCCCCCAGCCTCCCAGAGTGCTAAGATTACAGGTGTGTACAAACCTGCCTGGCCCTTTTGAAATTTTTTTATTTTGAGGTAGGATCTCAGTACGTTGTCCAGGCCTTGCTCAAATGTGTGAGCCTCCCAGGGTGCTGAGATTACAGGTGTGCACCACCACACCTAGCTGGCTGTAGGTCTTAAAGCTGTTTGTAAGAGCTGACTTGAAGAAAGTTTAGTTTCTGAAAGTAACACAAGGGAAAACATTGGCTTGGAGACTGAGCAATGGGCGAAGCACAGAAGTGCCTTGAGCGTGAAGTTGAAAGTTGCAAGGGCCTCCAGAAGCCTCAGGGAGAGGACTCAGAGGACACAGAAGAAACACTGGAAGCTGGAGACAGCACCTGAGTCATATCTTGGCAGAACGGTTGGCAACACTGCTGCCTGTATTGGCATGGCAAATGGAGAGGAAACGTAAAGAACTGAGCATCTGAGCAGGGATTGGGGTGGGAGGAGAGATCAGGAACTGCTAACTGAATTTTCCAATGCCTAGGATCAAAGACAAACAGAGGGAGACAAATTCAAGGAGCTCTTTGGTTCTTCTAGTCGAACTGAGAGGAACTAGAAAAGAGCCAGGCTCTGATGGTTAGAGAGGGCAAGTGTCCTTCATTGTGGCAAAATCTTCAGGCAAAAATCTTTCAAACCGCAGCAGTAAAATCTGGTGTCTGGGCATATTTCAGGGCTTACCTAAAAGGGCTGCTAAGCATCTTAAAGACCCCGAGCTTCAGGAAAGCTCCCCAGGACACAGGTGTGTATCTAGATACATCTAAAGATAGAGGAGGTCTGAGACCCAGCGACTTGGAACTGAGCTACATCCTCAGACCTTTTTCTATTTTTTATTTTATTTTAAGACAGTCTCACTAAGTTTCCCAGGCTGGGCTGGAACTTGCAATTCTCCTGCCTCAGTCTCTCAGAAAGCCATTGGCTTTTGTCCAAGGTAGGTTTATAATTTGAATCATGGAATAAAAGTGCACTAGCTTGGGCCCGAAAGGGATAGAAACAATACAACAGGAAAGGGGACCTTTGGTTCCCTGAGCCTCCAGGGGGAAAAAACAGGCTGCAAACAGGAGCCATTTCTTACAGGAAAGGGGACAGTGTCTCAGAGATTAGAAGCCAAATGGTGAGGCCAGAAGGCACAGGGTGTCATTCTCAGGAAGCAGGACCAGCCCCTGACTGGTTCAGAGCTGCTGGGACCCAGCCACAGCTACAGGAAACACCTCCCATTCTCTCCCTGACTGAATGGAGGGCCGGTTGCGCTTCACCAGTGTACAGGGGTCTTTAGGGGAAAGGAGGGAAACATAACTTGTCTCTTCAGCTTGCCTTTCAGTCTGAGAAGGACACCATGAGGGAACCGCACCAGAACCTGCTATGGATAACAAGATCCAGGACCTTGAGCCTGGACTGATGCTGCGAGGAGGTGAGACTTTCTGGGGTTTGGGGGTGTTTCTGGGTATCTCTCATGTTGGAAGAATGCAAATAATTTGGGGCCAAGAGTGAGATTTGACTACGGTGAATTAAAGATGATCATAAATTATTTGACACTGTTCTCATTGAGAGTTGAGATCTACACTTCCTTCCCTTGAATCTGGACAGTATCCATGACTTTTGTGTGCGTGTGTGTGTGTGTGTGTGTGTGTGTGAATAGATTTTTTTTATTAGTCCACGTCTACAAAACATAATGAATACATTCATCTTGGGGAATTGGTACGTATACTTATAGCATCATTTTACTTTCGATTCGCTCCCCTCCCTCCTGTCTCCCCCAAACTTAGATTCCTTTCCATCTCCACAAAGTCTACCTCCCTGTTTCCTATCAGCTATCTTTTATTTGGCTCTTTAAATTATTTATACTTTGAGTTTTTCAGGAAAGAGAAACCATGTGATATTTAAGACTTCTTTAAACTAATAAAAAGATTGTTTTACATAAGCTTCCAGGCATAAGACTTAAGAAACTGGAAACATCTACTTCCTGTACCTTGGACACTCTTTTGGAGCCCCAGCTCACCAGATGAGAAGTCCAGCTGCCCCCATGGCCACCATGTTGTAGCAGCCCAAGCTAGCTTTGTGGAGAGGCTTTGTAAAGGGAGGGAAAGAGGAAGAGGAGTGGGTGGGTTGTCTGGCCAATAGTCAGCTCTTCTGGCCCCTGCTGTGACAATCTCCTCAGCTGGAGCCTCCAGGATTATAGGAAAGGAATAAGCCACCCCTACTGGGTCCTGTCTGAGTTCCTGACCCACAGAAATAGACAAGGTAGTAAGAAATTATTGTATTAAGCTACTTAGTTTTAGGGTGATTTGTTACAGAGCAATAGATAACCAGAACAATTTACTAACTTGAATAGATGTCAAAAAATAAATTGAAAGTAGAAAACTCTAACTCTAAAATAACACACATGGTTCTGTTTTGGAAATATGCAAAATAACGTGTGATGGTGTTTGTGTATACTATCCATTTACTCAATATATTTGCACAAAAACTGGAATGCTTTCTGTGAACTAACTCTGGAGAATCAGTATTAGGGTATTAAAATCTACAATAAAGATTTTAAATATTGGCTTAATTTTTAATGAGAAAAAAGTTCTGCATCAATTTTATTTCAAAGCAACAAATATGCAAGACAAAAAAGAATAGCCCAGGCACTGCCAAAGAATGAAATAAAGAATGGGGGGGGGGTTTACTCTGCTGCCAGACTACTAATGCAAAGAGATTATAATGATATATATGTTAAAATTTTATTTCTAGGATTAAAACATCAGACAAAAGGTAATCAACAAAGGAAAACGATCAAGGTTACTTTTAAGAGTGTAAACAACATTAGAACATGGAGGAAAAATGAACTCATAAACTTGGAGGATAAAATGGCCTCATCCAGGGCTTAAATATTCAGTTAGGATATTATCATGAATGAAAGTAAAAGAAATTCTCCTGATGAAATGGGTCAGAAAATAAGTGATATTTTTACTTTCTATTAAAAAACTACCCAATATATATATATATTAGCCAATGGGAGGAGTCAAAGTTAAGAACTCAGAGAGAAGGGAAAGCATTGGTGTGAACTCAACCCTCTCTGCTCCCTTTCTTTTGAACATTAATTTCCAGGTAGCATGGGATGAAAGGTCAAAAGTGATATCCCTGAGATTTTAGAGTGTCACAGGTATAGAGAGAAAAGTATCATAGTTTAATACTACCAAGATAGGCAAGATCAGAGAGACTAACATCTCAAGGAAAAGAAAGCTCAGAAAAGTGAAAGTATTATTCTGCTCCATTTCCCCCCAAAGGCATTTGCCTATTTTCAATCTGTGCAGGTGAAAAGCAAACAGAAGAAATCAAACAGCAGCTAGGAGGATAAAAATTGGAGGAGAAATTTTGCATTGCTAGCAGGACAAAAAATGGGAGTCTAGATCTTGCCAACAAAGTTAGGCACTGTTAAATACTCCAGGGCTTTAGTGGAAGCTCTTGAAAGAATATATGCTTTAATGGGCTGGGGATGCAGCTCAGTGGTACAGTGCTTGCCTAGGATGCACAAGGCCCTGAGTTTGATCTCTAGCACTGAAAAAAGAAAAAGCAGTAGGACTAAAGGCAAAACAAAAGGCTTTGGAGAATCAAATTCAGACTCAGGTTATCTCAATAACCAGTTAGCAAAAGGTGATCTATATCTAACCTAACTGCCTGCCAAATGAAAACTGAGATGTCTCTAAGAGAAGAGAACAATGGGAAGAATCATTATAGCTTTTCAGATATAATATCTGGCATTTAACCAGAACTTACCAGGCTTGCCAAGAGAAAGGACCAAATTAAGTAAAACTCACAAGAAAAAACAGACAACAAAAATACAGATTATACAAATATTGAAATTATATAGAGCAGGGATTAACTGGGAAAAATAAATTTGTCAACAAGCTGAAGAAGTGGGGAAACTCACCAGGAAATAATTACAATTTATTTTTAAACAGAATAAAATAATGAACCTTGTACCAAACAAAAAATAAAATAAAATGCACTTCACAGATGTGCTTAAAGCAGAGTAGACACAGCAGAAGACATTAATTAATCATTAAATAGGTCAGTAGAAAATAGCCTACTAAAGTGTGAAGAGAGGAAAGGATGGAAAACAGAGAAAGACACTTAAGAGAGACATAGAACATGGTAAATAGCTAAACATGCAATTAAAATCTAGAACAAAGAGGAGAGAAAGAATGAGGTTGATACAATATTGCCTAAGACTTCTCCAGAACTGATAAAGACATTAACCACAGAATCCTGAAAGCTCTATGAATGCCAAGCAGTATAGGCATAAAGAAAGCCACACAAACTAATTATATTTCAAAAAACCAAAGACAAAATGTTAAAAGCAGCCCAGCACAAACACACCTGTAAAGGAGCAACAATCAGCTTGATGGATGACATGTCAACAGAAATGATAAAAGTTAGTATAGCTTATAATTTCAGTATAATCTTCAGTATGCTGTAAGGAAATAACTGTCCGCCTACATTGTGAATGCAGTAAAAATGCCCATTAAAAAGAAAGTTGAGGGACTTTTGCTTTTAAATTGGTACAAGATGTTCCTGTCAATTGCTAACAAATAACACCTAAACAAACGCTATATATGAATGAACTGTTTTCAGTAATTGGACAATAGTGTAGGACTTCAATCCACATAAGAAAAGAAACAAATGAAGTGGGCTCTACAGTTCCCTTGCTTTCTGCCTAGAGACATTTTCTGAATTGCTACAGAAGGAAAAGAAACGAAAGCAGAACACAGAGGTCCTCTGAGTGAGGACAAAGAACTCAAGAGTCATGGGAGCTGAAGTGGCTGGAATTTGTTGAGCAGAGAATCAGAGAGAAGAAAAGCATGCAGGTGAGGATATGGGAAAATCTTCATAGAGATTCCTTTTAAATTCCTGCTAATAACAATGTGTGGACATAGGATAAAATTCCATGCCACCAGACAAAGGCAGTGGAGAGCTGTGAGTTAAACAATTTGTAGAATAAGAAAGAATTGGAAGATATTCAAGTTCTAATAACCTTTTTTTAGTACTAGGTATTAAGCCCAGGGACTCATGCTAGCCAAGCATTCTATCACTTAGCTACCTCCCCAATCCCTTTAATTTTTTCTCACTAAGTTGCCCAAGATGAGTTTGGACTTGTGATCCTCCTGCCTCAGCCTCCCAAGCAGCTGAGTAGCTAGGATTAGAGGTGAATGAACACCACTGAGCCCTGCCAAATTCTAATAATCTTCAGTGAAGAAGGTTCATAGAACACTTAGGATACAATATAAACCTCCGTGTGGATTCTCTATTAGTATGATCTCTAGAGTAAAGGATATTCTCAGATTTGCCCTTAAAAAGCTTAAAAACAAACATCAAAGTAATACTTAAGTAATTTATCTGCCTAACGAACTTCAAAACTCTTCAAAGGACAAAAACAAAATCCAGTAATGCAACAACAGAACATTCACAGTATCTATGGAAACAAAAGCAGAAATAAAAGAAGGACTTTCAAACACCGATAATAAATATAGTCGATGATGTAAAAGAAAACATAAACACACGAAAGAGAATGAAGTTATAAAAAGAAGCAAATGAAATTTTGAATTCTAAAAAACGTATAAATATAATTTACCTTATACATAGAAGAAAAACTCATGATCATCTTAGTGCACACATAAAGAGAAATTGTCAAAGTTCAACTCTCATACACAGTGGAAACTGGAAATAGAAGGAAATTATAAAGGGCACTACAAAAAATGTCCAGCTATCTGCCACCTGCCTTGAAAGCACAATGTCCCGAGTTTGATTCCCGGTACAAAAAAAAAAATATCCAGCTAGCATCATACTAAGTGATCAAAGATTAAATGCTTTGTATATCAAATTAGGAAAAAAAGCTTCTATTTGATGATTATTGGAGGTACCAGCCATGGAAGTAAGTAATAAAAAGAAAGAAAATGCATGTATACTGATAGGTAAATAAGAAATAAAACAGTTTCATTGAAAATCAACATGATTTTGTATGTAGAAAATCTGAGACTCTACAAAGGGCTATTTGAACTACCAGGTATTTCTAGCAAGGTCACAGAATAGAAGATCAATACTAGCAATAAGCAACCAGAAAAGGAAAAGTTAAAAACAGTACCACTTACAACAGTATCAAAAGAGTAAAATAATAAGGATAAATTATAAAAATGAGTGCCAGATCTGCACTCTAAAACCTACACAACACTGCTGGTAAAAATTAAAGACCAAAAGTAAATAGAGGTATATACATGTTAATGGACTGGAGTTTTAATATTTTTTAATTCATTGAGTTTATTGGTGCAATTTAGGTGTACATTATGATTGCATTCATCATAGGGAATTTGTACCTGTACATGATATATCTTGGTTCTTATTTTTTTCCCATTCCCCTCCCCTCCCTTCCACCCCTCCCCCTCCCTTTTTACAGAAGCACTATTTCCATTATTTCCTTCTTTTCTTCTTCTTTACCTTCTTTCCTTCCCCCTTTCTCCCTCCATAGTTCCCCTTCCCCTTTAATCATTTTCTTACTATTTCACAATATCTGTTGCACATTTTAGACCTCGTTCACACTTTTTTTCAGAGAAACAATTCGGTATTTACACACGCGTGTCTTCATTAAACTTAAGAGTATGGTTTCAAGGTTAAAATGTCAATTCTCCCCACATTGATCTCGAGGTCCAACATAATCCAAATCAAAATCCCAGCAAGCTTTTTTTTTTCTTCAAAATTTGACAGGCTGATTTAAATTTTTGTATATAATGCAAAGGACATAGAATAGCCAAATCATTTTTTTAAAAGAAGAAATTGGGAAAGCACTACCTGATTTCAAGACTTCTAAAGCTAATCAAGAGAGTGTGCTTTTGGCAGAAGGATAGCTCAGTAGATCAAAGGGACGGAATGGAGTAGGCACAGGTTCCATGTAGGTGATCAATGGCATTTTGCAACGGTGCTAGTTAACTCAGTGAGAGGAGAGTAGTATTTTCATCAAATTGTGCTGGAACAACTGGGTATTCATATAGTTATATATGGACTTTAGTACTTACCTATCCCATGCACAAAATTAAGTAAAAATAGATCATAGACCTAAATGTTAACTACATTGATGCCACAAACTTTTTTTTTTTTTTGGTACTGGGGATCAAACTCAGGACCTTGCACTTGCTAGGCAGGAGGCAGAACCACTGAGCTAAATCCCCAGCCCTAGTGCCACAAACTTCTAAAGAAAACACAGGAGAAAAAAATTTTTGCGAGCCTGAATAAGCAAACATTTTTTTAAGCAGGATATTAAAAGCACAAATCATAAGGAAGCATTTATAATTTTGACTTTAGCAAATTTAAAATCTTGTGCTCAAAAGATATCTTAGAAAAGAAGAATACAGAAACCACAAAGAAAAAATATTGACAATACATACATCTGATAAAGAACTTGTATCAAGAATAGATCAAAAAGCGGGGCGCAGTGGCTCACACCTGTAATCCCAGCCTGGGCCACACAGTGAGTTCAAGGCCAGTCTGAACTACATAGCGAG